GTATGTTGACTGATTAGCCTTAACAATTACCATATCCTATTCCTACTCCTTACTCAATTTTTAATGATTTCACCTCATTCTTTGGTAAGAACGAGGTATAACCCGGCATGTTGACTGATAAGCCTTAACAATGAACATATCCTATTTCTACTCCTTACTCAATTTTTAATGATTTCACCTCGTTCTTTGGTAAGAACGAGGTATAACCCGGCATGTTGACTGATAAGCCTTAACAATAAACATATCCTAATCCTACTCCTTACTCAATTTTTAATGATTTCACCTCGTTCTTTGGTAAAACGTTAGCTCCGCAGAATGGTACTGTGACTGATAACTATTACTAACACCGACAAAAGCCAATTTTTTGAGAAAAGACAAATACTAAGTACCCCAAGATCCAGGATAATGGACCTACCAAATAACTGACTTGATTTAAGGCGGGTGGTATTTCCGAGATCCATTGACAACAGTTCTCCAAAGCTTTCTGTCCTCCATCAGTCTAGCTATCTCATCTACTGACTTCAGCCCAGTATCTGCTTTTAGGTTATCTAGTAGTGTTAAGTGAGGTCGCCCCCTGTTAGTATGCCCGTGGCTCGGCTTCCAGAGGATCAGTTTGTTCAGTGTCAGCTCCGGATGTCGGTGAGCATGACCTGCAAGTCTGAGCCTTCGTTGGGTTATCTTGGAGCTGACTTTGGGAAGATCACCGTACAGGCTGTGGTTGCTGACATGGTCTCGATATTGATTGATGGTAAGGGCCATTCTTAACATTCGCGTATAGCAACCATCAACCATCTTCTCTAGCCTTTTCGTCATAGTCCAAGTCTCGGAACCGTACAGTAGCACCGACTCCACTAATGCTGTAAACACTCTGATCTTGATAGACTTTCTAAGCTTAGAATTCCAAAGTTTTTTGAGTGTGTGGCATGCTCCTCATGCTCTTCCTTTCCTAACCCTGATATCACTCTCACTGTCTCTGATTCTAGAACCCAGATAGGTGAAGTCTTCCACATGCTCTATTGTACTGTTACCCAGGGACTTGATGGTATCAGGGTTCTCGATGTTCTGAGTAATGAATTTGGTTTTCCCTTCATTCATTCTAAGTCCAACTGTAGCAGCAACTCTTTCTACCTCTAGCATCAGCATCTCAGCCTCCTTTACAGTATCTGCTATCAGAGCAATGTCATCTGCAAAACCAGTGTCTGATATCTTCTCCGCCTTAACTCTCCTACTCCTATAAGGCTTAATTGTAAATCCTATTAGTGTAATATATAGGCTGGTTGCAGCAGTTTTAGAGTAGTTTTAGCAGTTGTGTAGATTGTAATTTAGTGATTAATATGACCGTTAGTAATGAGTGTAGATTTAGGTAGTTAAGTGACCACGTGGTATCACGTGGCGCGTGTCGATAACGCATTTCTGGACACGTTAGGATTAGTTCTGGAAAAGCTTTTTAGGTGACGTGTTTAACTTTCAATCAAAGTGTTAACCGCTGATCTGGAACGACCCGGCGTGGCCCGTATTGCCACAGTTTATAGTTGTTAATTGTTGTAAATTAACCGTATATTCCATCTTCGAACGTTATTAATCGATTCAACTGTTTCCCTTGTTCAACACTAGCGTAGGAACGAATTGTACCACATTATACCGTTCAAATTAAAGTTGCCTCACCTATTTCCGTGTTGGGTAAATTAGTAAGCTTTCGATACTCGAAGATCGTGTTTCAGTCAATTCAGAGTAAGTGCAAGTTCTAAGAGTTTAGTGTTTCTACTACGTTCGTAACGAGTTTATATTTCCCATTTGATTCATATCCTCGATATTAACACCTTAGTATCCCTTTCTGTTAATTCCGTGTACGGTACTAGAATATCGTATTTGTTATATTAACGTAGAGTTCAATACTTAGATATTGTGAGTTATTGCGGTTGTCAGTCGCTAAGAACGACTGAGTGAGTAGTGTATATCGTGAGTACACCTTTGTGAGCAGGCACTGTAGACCATCGGTACGCTTCGGGAGGACTGGTCTAGGTGCTATCTTGTTTTACACTACTATTTCAGGGTGCTTGCTTAAGGCTTGTCTCATGCAATAGTCAAGGGCTATAATGAACAAGTTTGGTGCTAACGTATCCCCTTGAAGAACCAAATAAATAAAATTATTATTAATAGCAATGTGTTTGTGAACCATATTTGAAAGTTGGTCATCTGTCAGCTGCACTTTGTAGCAACGAACTACTGAAATGCCTCAATCATGCACATTGCATGCATGCAGTGCCCAGTGGCGAATTACCAAATGTTTTTAACTGTTGTGACAGAGATCAGACTTTAAGGTCCCAGTGCATGTTTACTGAGCAGCCAAAATCTGATTTTGAGACCTGTTACCCCGAGTTCCAACCCCAAGAACGGATTCTATTTGTGTACTCTGGTTGCAAACAGATAATGAAACAACTTCACCCCATTGCTCATATACAACTGTTGTAAACAAGGATGTTGAACACTTACCATCATTAAAATCGATTACATCTGCCTAAGAACTTGATTGAACTGCATGGAATATTTGTAACTCCGAACCAAAATGATAGACCTGCTAATTAGATGGCGGGAATATCGGGCCCCAAGCAATTGTTTGTCTTCAGAGTTCAGACATATTTTATAAGAGCGATACTTGAAATTGTTAAATGACAAACACGTGTTGTCCGATAACATGTTTTTTCAAAGAGTTATTTCAACGTTCGTCTATGATAAAGGCACATAGCCGAAACAAACGTCTACAATTGTACCTGTTTTATTTTGTTTTCGAGATTTCGATCGAGCATCGCCCAAAGTAAAAAAGTAAGTATTTTGTTTTGTAGAGAGTGGAGACTTGCATTTCGTCCCCAGTAATCAATCACGATCAGCCCACTCAATAGAGCAAAACAATGAACATATGATAACTACAAATATTGTAATTTTAAATTTAATCCATCTCGGTTACACAAACCATCTACTAAGAAATTAATTAATGTTTTAATGTATAGTAACTACTAACATTCAGATTTCAAAATTACTTTGACATAATTAATCCTAATAGTAGTCAAAGCATCATATTCATAAAAGATCATACGTGTCGCCATTAGTGATATTGGTATCTATTGTACAACGGATCCAAAGCGATAGGGTATCTATTTGATTCGCCAAGGAGAGCCAATGGCGACTGGTTTAATTTCTACCTTTGATACTTGAGCTACATATACAAGGGCAGGTCTCTCCCGAACGAAGGTGCTTATCTCATTTTCAGTGCAGTAACCCTAAGCCACTCTGTGCCGAGGCACTATACTAGCTTTGGGGGGGGGGGGGGGGGGTTAGTCCTACGAGCCAGAGAGTGTGTATCACCAGCCGAAGCTGTACCAAATCACAGCTTGGTAACTGGCCGACTTGAATCAGACCGGATTTGAACCAGGGTCTTCTGCTTGGGAGGCGATCGTGTTACCACTACACCACCCGGCCGAATTAACAACATTCTACAAAATATACTCGCGAGTAAAATTAAAATTGCATTTTTAAAAAATACATATATAATCTACGTTTAGAGTTGCCAGACTTTGCCTGCATGACACGCCTGGAGGGTCACATGAGACAACATTTAGGGTAAATGTTCAGCCTTACACTATAAATAGCATACGTTTGTTTAAGTCGCTCTCTTATCTGCTTTCTTATCTCGCCTTGTTTAACGGTTTTGTGCCCTGCACCTTGTAGCTTAGCCTAACAGCTGTGGCAGCTGTGGACGACACGGAGATTGACAGTATTATGTTTAAAGCTGAGAATTGGATGGCAAAACTTATGTAAGCCGTGATCAATTGAGATGAATTTTGGGTAATATTGTGTAATTATGAAGTTAGTATAGTGATTATAATAAGGTGGTCGTGTTGTCCAGTATTCTACCGTAGTATTTTGGGGGCATATATTAGTATACGACAGTTATTGTAGTTTAAGTGCAGAGAGGTCAGTTTAACATATGTTTGGGTTAATACGAGGTTGGTTTATGGGGTGTTTAGAGATTACTAGAGTTACTATCTGATGTTGTGGCTATCTGGGGGCAAGAGGAATAGGTCAGTATTTTACTGTAGTATTTTGGGGCATATATTAGTATAGGACATTTAATGCAGTGAGAGGTCAGTTCAACATATGTTTGAGTTTGTACGAGGTTGGTTTATGGGGTGTTTAGATATTACTAGGGTTACTATGCTGAGGCTATCGACAGGATAGTTGGGGATTGTTTAGAGATTGCTAACAGGGAGTGGAAGATTGTTTAGACTATCGGGGGTGAGAGGGATAGGAGGTTGGCTTTTTGGGAGAGGAGAGTGACAGTTTACCCGATCTACATTCTACAGGTGGGTCAATTTGATGCCGGACAGGTTCAGGAGCCAGAACCTGTTAAGATTAGGTCTTGGAGTTAGCTGAGTAGTGGTTAGTAGGTTAGTGGCGGTAGTGTAGTAGAGCATTACGGAGGGCATTTTATCAGGATAGAGGCAATATGAATCGGAGTAATGAGGAGTTTTGTTGAGTAGTATTTGAGGCAATATGAATCGGAGTAATTAGGAGTTTTATCGTGCAATATTTGAGACCAGTTTTGTTGTGCAATTAGTCGATTATTCGTTGTTTCGTACCTTTGTTACCATTATTATCCATTTTATTTCCATTGTCCAAGCCCTTAATTAAATACTAATAAACTTCGAACCGGGAAGCAAGTGTCCACTGCTTACACTTATGAATCAGTTCGGTTGTGAAGCACCAGTTGGCATGACTTCTGTATTGTATTTACTAGAGTGTATTTTTTACAATACATGTCTTACTAATTGCTTTTATATTAGGGACGATAGTGTTTGTAAGAGGATGGGGACTTGTCCCGTTGTGATGTACAATTTTTGTTTGTTGAGTCATTCATTCTGGCTGTTGGAGCATACAAAACTTAAAGTTTTCGCGAACAGTTCAGTACTGTCCCTGGTAACTAAATACTTGCCCTCAGGAAGATGATAGCACTACAATGGTTGCTGCTCATGCAGTGTTTTATCAGTGGCACTGCTGGAGCTAAAATACTAATTGCAGCTCCATTTAGTGGCAGTCACTACTTTGCCACTTCAGACATCGGACACCTGCTCGCTAAACAAGGACACCAAGTTACCTTTGTAGCTCCAATTATAGATCCTCGAAACTTAATGGAGCACGAGAACTTTACTTTGGTGCCACCATTTTGGAAAATTGAGGGACTCGGTGGCAATGACGCATATGGATGTGTGATGTCAATAATTGAGTCAGAAAGGGACGACTACTTGTACATTGATACCCAGGCGGCAAACGAAGTATGTAAAAAAAAGTGGGAATGGCTTTACCAAATTCTCATAAACTATTACACCAGTGATCAATTCTTACAGTTACTGATGGATGAACAATTTGACCTGATCGTTGCTGAAGATAGAACTTCTATTCCGATACTCGCTGTAACAAATAATATTCCACTGGCGGTATATTTTCCTGAAGTTGAGTACAGCAGGACTAGGATGGCTCAAAATCTCCCGCAGTTTCTCTGCAGCGAACCTAGCATGGCAATTCAAGTCTATGATGGAGAGAAACCAGGTTTTTGGAGGAGACTGTATGGGATTTATAACCTGGTTGTCGGAGGAGCTAAGTTAATATCTGCTGTTGAGACGATGTTGAAACCGGTCTATGCCAAGTACGGTATCAAGTCAACACAATCCTTGCTGGAGAAAATACAACTATTTATCATAAATGACCACCCGGCATTCTCATTTCCATATCAAGTTGCAAACAACGTGGTACAGGTGGGAGGATCTAGTTTGACAGAAGGAAAACCTCTCCAGGGAGATCTGAAAACTTTTGTTAGGAACCAGACGGACCCTATCGTGTATGTATCAATGGGAACATACATTGATTTCATATGGCTAAAGTGGCATGCCATCTTGCTAAAAGTTCTGCAAGAAAGCGAATTTAGTGTGGTTCTCAAAGTAAATGAAGAGACTCAATACAAACTCCCTGAACTTTCTAGCAAGTTCTTTGTGTCGTCCTGGGTGCCACAACGAGATCTTCTGGCAAGTGGGGATATCACACTGTTCATATCCCACTGTGGTAACAATGGCAAGATTGAAACCATATATTATCAGGTTCCGGTTCTGTGTACTCCTACTATCGGAGAGCAAGGTATAAACGCGGACGCTATTAAACACAGAGGTTTCGGAGAATTGATTCTACCAACAAAGATCACAAGGGAAACTCTCAAACGTGTAATTGATAAAATGATAAAAGAAAATGAGTCATATCGTGAAGAAATGTCAAAAGCTGTAGACATCTTTAAAACGGATCCGGCTTCTGGTCAAGACAAATTGATGTATTATTTGAACTTGATGCTGAAGCATGGAAACTTGGACCACTTGATTAATCAGATCATGATGCAGCAAAACTTCTTGGAAATGTACCATCTAGACATTATATTATTTGTCATTTTGAGCACAACAATAATCAGTTATCTTATATTCAAGATTGTTTCTAGAGTGGTGTTTATTGTTTCTTTTAAGTAGATAATATATGTTTTTTCTGTTACATGTAAGTCATTTTTTAATGTTTGTTAAGTTATTTTTCCTTTTTTACTAGCCAAAATTCATAACAGTTTTCTTACTTGTAACGCATTGTCATTATCAATTGACAAGCTATTTATATGTTCATTCAAAACTTCATACTGAAAGTACCAACTAAAATACTGGCATAAAAGTAAAACTTGAGCAAATCCTAAAATGCCGATGGCAAAGATGGCGATAAAATAAACTTAATAATAGTGACAAATTTTACCTCATCATGCTGCATTTAATACTAATAGGGCCACTTATATTTACCAATATCTTCAAACTTCAATGAACGTGTCCTTAAACTAAGCTAAAGATACAATTACACGACGAAGAATCAAATATTGTCATTGATAACTGTGTGTTCATGATTTTATCCTTGAAAACAGACAACTTAATTCAAATTGTATTTTTCCAAGGTTTAACGTGTTATTTTGATAATGCCGAAAGCTAATAAACTTCTATACTAAACTGAATTTTGTAAACAGTTAATAGGATTGCTCTACTAAAGCCATGTGGCCTGTGATAACCTACCTTATCGGACTTTATTTGAACAGACAATGGCATGAAATGGCATAAAATGGAAACTTTTTCTATGGATAAAATGGAAAAACCCTTGAGCAATTCTCCATTTATGCCATTTTATGCCATGAATTTTGATCATCGAATAACGTATGTGGCAGCTTACTGGGACACTCTAACATGTTTATTTTCGCATGCCAGGCTACTCAAAGCTCATACGAAGCTACTAGATAGAGACTCATACCATACAGACAACTAGAGACACATACCAGCCACTAGGCTAGTGGCTACTAGAGGCAGAGATCGATTCTACTATTTTGCAATTCAAATTTCACTCAATTTCACTCTGATAGTGATACAATTTAGAAATCGATCAGATATCCGGTTATAGTAAGTATAAGTTATTATATAGTTCTTATTCGAATTATTAGGGTCCCCAGGTAATCTTAAACAATAATCTCGGAATGTGTGTGTGTGTTCTGTGTGTGTGTTCTGTCTGTGTGTCTGTCCGCGTGTAATTTCAGAGCTGCTTAATCAAGAAAACGGTAAGATTTACGGGGCTGGTTTTTTCGGTATAGTGCCGACAAAACTATGAGGAAGCTAAATGGTAAAGTTTTTTTAAATCGGTCGGTGGTAAGTGGTTTAATTGATGGTTTTGTACCACAAATGTTACATAAAATGGCTTGAGCAGTTACGGGGCTCGCTCTTTCTCCCATTACTGTATATGTAGCTGCATAAGTAGCGGCATAATTGGGTTAGCCCGGTAAGATTCGCTGTAATGTTATATCATAAGTTTATTAGGGGAGGGGGCTCTGTTAGTGTTTGGGGTCTGTTTTGACTGCAGAGAGAGTTCATACAACAATGTTATGCGTGTTTTCAAATATAATAGGCGGGTGTAGTGCGGAGTTAACAAGGGTTAATTTCTATAACGATTTAAATAAAAATGGAAAGCGGTTCAAGAGTACGGGAGTGATGAGGTGTAATAGTCGGTGTTCAGACCTTTAAATTATCATGGAATGTGATGGCTAATAATGACTTAATTACCTACGAGAAAGAACTGATTATGAGATTATTGTTTAAGATACTATTGGGTAACCTAATGCAGGTTTTGACTCAGCGGGTAATTACTCCTACTCTTTTTAACTGCGGCAGTGAAATCCCGGCCGAAGGCCGGGTTACACTTGTATAGATATAATATCTTAATTATTTCACAACTTATTCGTCAGCATTTTGCTAATGCTATGATAATTATATCTGACCTAGAAACTTTGTCCAGTCCCAGCATAGGAATTATTACACGAATTTCAATATACCCGAATTTCAATATACTTTAATTATTTACGCTCCAATCTCTATAATTATTGTACTCTTCTTTTGATTGGTCGGCGTCGACTGTAAGCCTTCCTTGCGGTGGCTTTCACAACGCGTCCCCATTCTCCAACTCCTGCTGCTAGAGAGCGAGACTCCCAAGTTATATACCATAAATATATTATACATAGATATCGACAACAGACTCCGAGAGTCTTGAAGTTCTGTTACCACCGCCCCTGGTGCAACCCCTTACGGGTTAACGATGAGGAGACAGGGACTTCCAGGGACGGTCATGGCCTGCTACATGCAACTCGTAGGAGTATGCAATGTTCCTGTAACGTCACTGTAGACCGCTCCTCTGTCGTTGTTTTGAGTGTCCGATCCAGAAACCAAATCCTAGGGTTCACGAGACGTGGAAGCCTGTGAGCGTGTTAGAGTCTGTTAAGTGTTAGAGTCCTAGGGCTACACGAGACGTCGTAGCCTGTGAGCGTGTTAAATCCTAGGGTTACACGAGACATGGTAGCCTGTGAGCGTGTAGACTGCTCCTCTATCGTTGTTTTGAGTGTCCGATCCAAAACCAAATCCTAGGGTACACGATGCGTGGTAGCCTTTGAACGTGTAAAATCCTGGGGTTACACGAGACATGGTAGCCTGTGAGCGTGTAGTCCGCTCCTCTATCGTTGTTTTAGTGTTCGATCCAAAACCAAATCCTAGGGTACACGAGACGTGGAAGCCTGTGAGCGTGTTAGAGTCTGTTAAGTGTTAGAGTCCTAGGGTTACACGAGACGTGGTAGCCTGTGAGCGTGTTAAATCCTAAGGTTACACAAGACTTGGTAGCCTGTGAGCGTGTTAAATCCTGGGGTTACACGAGACGTGGTAGTCTGTGAGCGTGTAGACCGCTCATCTATCGTTGTTTTGAGTGTCCGATCCAAAACAAAATCCTAGGGTACACGAGGCGTGGTAGCCTGTGAACGTGTAAAATCCTGGGGTTACACGAGACATGGTAGCCTGTGAGCGTGTAGACCGCTCCTCTATCGTTGTTTTGAGTGTCCGATCCAAAACCTAATCCTAGGGTACACGAGACGTGGAAGCCTGTGAGCGTGTTAGAGTCTGTTAAGTGTTAGAGTCCTAGGGTTACACGAGACGTGGTAGCCTGTGAGCGTGTTAAATCCTAAGGTTACACAAGACTTGGTAGCCTGTGAGCGTGTTAAATCCTGGGGTTACACGAGACGTGGTAGTCTGTGAGCGTGTAGACCGCTCATCTATCGTTGTTTTGAGTGTCCGATCCAAAACAAAATCCTAGGGTACACGAGGCGTGGTAGCCTGTGAACGTGTAAAATCCTGGGGTTACACGAGACATGGTAGCCTGTGAGCGTGTAGACCGCTCCTCTATCGTTGTTTTGAGTGTCCGATCCAAAACCTAATCCTAGGGTACACGAGACGTGGAAGCCTGTGAGCGTGTTAGAGTCTGTTAAGTGTTAGAGTCCTAGGGCTACACGAGACGTAGTAGCCTGTGAGCGTGTTAAATCCTAGGGTTACACGAGACTGGTAGCCTGTGAGCGTGTAGACTGCTCCTCTATCGTTGTTTTGAGTGTCCGATCCAAAACCAAATCCTAGGGTACACGAGGCGTGGTAGCCTTTGAACGTGTAAAATCCTGGGGTTACACGAGACGTGGAAGCCTGTGAGCGTGTTAGAGTTTGTTAAGTGTTAGAGTCCTAGGGTTACACGATACGTGGTAGCCTGTGAGCGTGTTAAATCCTAAGGTTACACGAGACTTGGTAGCCTGTGAGCGTGTTAAATCCTGGGGCTTACACGAGACATGGTAGCCTGTGAGCGTGTAGACCGCTCCTCTATCGTTGTTTTGAGTGTCCGATCCAAAACCAAATCCTGGGGTTACACGTCATGTGGGGGCCTGTGAGCGTGTTAGTTTCCTGCGGAAGGTGTTATTTGCCTGTGGGAAAAGCGGTTATGCTGCGGTTCTAAGGTTAGTAGAGGCTATTAGAGCCTTTCCTTGTTGTAGAGATGGCTAGTCCTTTCCTTTGCATAGGTTAGAAACACCCATGCACCTCCCGTTCGAGCCACCCACCCCACACCGCGTGGAGGTTCGGTGAGGTTTTTCGTGGGGCAATTATTGTACTCACAGGAGAGATGAGAGGGAAGAGGAGGATGTTGTACTTGTAGAAAAGGTAGGGTTAGAGGCTTAACAAAGGTAGAGGTCTAACGAAAATAGGTCCTCCAACGCTGACGTTTGTGTAGGAGCTCGAAGCCTGGCTGCTAATTTCATGAAAAGTATGTGAGTATTCTTCAATATCGTTCCGCTGATGGGAAACCAAAGTTGAATGATTTGGCTTTTTACTGATATGAATCTGCTGATGGCACAGTAAGCGTGATTTCTTGTTTGCACTGTAGGAACATTTACAGCATTTGAAAAGTTTTATGCCGGTATGAACGCTTTGGTGGGAAATTAAAGATGATTTCCGCCTAGCACTGTAAGAACATTCAGAGCATTTATACGGTTTTTCACCAGTATGAGTTTGCTGATGTTTAACCAGGTTTGATTTGTGGCTTGTACTGTATGAACATTCAGAGCAGTTGAAAAGTTTTATGCCGGTATGAACGCTTTGATGGTAAACTAAATATGATTTCCGGCTAGCACTGTAGGGACATTCAGAGCATTTATACGGTTTTTCACCAGTATGAGTTTGCTGATGGGAAATTAAAGATGATTTCCAGCTAGTACTGTAGGAACATTTAGAGCATTTGAAAGGTTTTATGCCGGTATGAACGCTTTGATGGGAAACTAAAGATGATTTCCGGCTAGCACTGTAAGAACATTCAGAGCATTTATACGGTTTTTCACCAGTATGAGTTTGCTGATGGGAAATTGAAGATGATTTCCAGCTAGTACTGTAGGAACATTTAGAGCATTTGAAAGGTTTTATGCCGGTATGAACGCTTTGATGGGAAACTAAAGATGATTTCCGGCTAGTACTGTAGGAACATTCAGAGCATTTATACGGTTTTTCACCAGTATGAGTTTGCTGATGGGAAATTAAGCCTGTCTTTTTTATTGCAAAGTAGGAACATTCAGAGCATTTATAAAGTCGCAGTTTCTTTCCGCCGGAATGAGTCCTCTGATGTACAACAATAGTTTGGTTAAGTTCCGAGTTTTGTACATTTTGTGGAGCCTTTGTCCAGCATTTATCTGTGTCTCCTGCAGCCACCGTAGAATCATTAATGTGTCGACAAGACTCTGTTATATACTGCATCTGAGACTGCACTTCTGATTTGATAAGGAAATCATCTTCCTCCTTTTTGATCTCTGTTTTTATCAATTCTGGCGTAATGCAATCTACTTCCATCTTCATCAAATCTTTAAATTGTAGCACATTTTGCTGCTCCATTTCACTGAAACGATCGTATAAAATGTCGCTTGTAAAAAGCGCAAATATAGAAATATAAATGAAATGGATTTAAGCTCTGGTCCTGGATGCAGCATAAAACTGAGATAAAGAATAAAGATACATGATGAAGAAACAAGCCTTGATAATGATCACTGTGTTCATTGTTCAAGATAGTATGACTGAAAACAAGGAAAAGCTGGACGAAGTAACCGAATTCGACGAAGTAACGAATTCGTCTGACAGTTTATCATAGTATTCTGATGATGCCAAAATTATAAACAAATAAAACGTAATAAAATTCTAAACCTGATCTTGATCTTGTGAACAGTATATAATATTGCGCTACAAACTTAAAGCTTTGCGATAACCTTGGAGCTTTGGAGGGGGATATATTCTATGAGTTTCAAACAAAGCTCTATCGAATGTAACTGACAGTGGCGCACGTTGGATACGTGGTCACAAACACAATAACGGAATGTAACACTAGCCGTATTGGTGTGTAACTAGGTACCTTATCGGACTTGTGTAATCAATCACGTGACGTGGTTAATGAGTGCTTATTGGCTGGCAAGCAGTTTCCACTGTGGTACAGTACCTAAATTTCACATCATATTCCGGGGATATTTGACCTCAGTCCCTAAAAAAACTCCGACAATTGAAAATGAACAGTTTCAGAATTTAATACTAATAGATCAGTTTGGTACAGTCGAAAATAACAAAATATGTGTTAACGTGATAACTAGAAATACTATTATCTATCTCAGTTACACAACCATCTACTAAAGATAAAATGTTATAACTTCTATTATAACATTCAGATTTCCAAACTACTTCAAAATTCATCCTAAATGTGGCTAAAAGTATGATAAAAGATAACATGTGTCACCATTGGTGATATTGGTATCCATTGGAGATGCAAACGGACCAAAAAGAGATACGGTATGATTGACCCAGTAGAGCCAATGGCTACAGGTATAATCTCTACCTATGATACTTGAGTTTCGAATTAACAACATGCAACATTTTACAAAATACTCGCGAGTAAAATTAGAACCGTTTGTTCTCGGTTGGTTCTAAAGGCTTTACTGATCAACTAAACGGTTGTAATGGTGTTCATTATACTACATTTCAGAAAAAAATCACATTCTAACCGACCAGAATTTATTATAATCACAAATTTACAACAGTTCATGTTTAAAATGTTATAATTTGATGGCTTTTGTAAAAATGATGAAATATTATAAAAAATTGTCGGTTACTATTAGTGAGCCATATTGAGTGACCCGCATCTTTTAAAAAGTATTCTTTTTGTCCATGAAAAATCGAGTTTCATGACCGCATTTCATGACCAATACTATTTAAAAAATATTTGGTGGCTAAGAAATGAAAAAAAGAAATTATTTAACATGATTTACTTAATTCACAACCAAACTAATACCACCGATCCATATCAAAACTAACTTACTAATGATGACAGCAATAGGTCGGATACTTCAGTAATATTTCCAAAATAAAAAGACGTCTTGAGCTGTCCTAAGATTATACTCTAGAAGGGCTCTACTCGAGAGGAGGGGGAGGGTAGTAGACCATCTCGGAAGGAGGTTGGTAGCCCCACTGGACACGGGGTGGCTCATACAAGCCCAGTGGGATATGAAGCTCCACGTCAGCGGCCCACGGGATAGCACACTCTATCTCTATACGATACCTGGGGTAAATAGATGTAATTAGTTATAGGTAATTAGTAATAATTAGTGATGATTAGTAATAATTGATGATGATGGTCGGGGTTTTGGAAATTGGAAGGGCAATATAAGCAAAGAATCGAGCACACCACGCCTTTTACTTATTTTTGTTCATGTACTTACACTTCTTTATTGTGGACTCACATCCAGAAAGTTACAAATTTCCTCCCAGATACAAATTTTCTGTTTTCTGTGGCCCGCTCGCGAATTTTTGACTTTCGCAATATCGGCGAGTAAAGCAAGACAGTTCATAAGTATTTGGAGCTACACCCCGGAGAATTTTTTGCGTTTTTGCTTGGCCACATTAAAATCTACAATAACAAAATATCTGAAGCCCTTCAAAATATTGTGTTACAAAATTTTAGAAACGAATATTTTAAAGTGGCTTTCTCCTACATATCGCCCTCTAAACTTACAAGGAAATATTTCCTGTAGATCCTTGGTATATAAGCAACATTTGACAGAGCATAGTGTGGAGTGACCTATGTGCCCATCCTTGGTGAACCCGGTGGATGTCCTTGCTGTACGGTTTTGCCCATGCAGAAGGCCTGGAAGCAATTTGGCATTCAAGATAATAATTTTTATCGATACCAGATAATAATTAATATTTTGATAATATTAATATCCACTTTTACAGTTCTACCACTCTGTTCCAATTCCTCCGAGTCAACTTTAGGTAACGAAAACCGTAATTAACTTAAGGTGAATTATAGAATATACCAGGATGCGGTTATTTGATTAAGATAATCGGCGGAATTTGAGTAAATGGTTAGGCAGTCTGTAAAATACAAATTTTTGCAGACTGCCGATTGGATTATACTTCAATTAGCAAGACGAGAAAAACCTTGATAAAATATTACAGACGCTGTTGATGTTGATATTTTTCCCTTGAATTGATATCTCATAAAATATTTGTGCAGAGCAAAGCCTATTGGGCACCCCACAAGATATAGCAAGCATATGGGATCAGGTGATCGGGTTGACACAAGATCTGGCAGGATGCCCAATTAGAGACACCAAGATGCCTCAGTTGGGCGGTTTTGTTTGAGACGGAATTTAAAGAACGTCTCATTACAATAGGGACATATTATAATTACATTGGACTCGTTAAATTGTGTATTTTAGTAGATCCTGGTTGTTTTTTAAGAGAGGCTGGGCCACGAGAGGATGGCCCACGAGAGGATAGCATGAGGATGGGGGGGGGGGGGGGGGGGACAAGGGGTATTTTTGGGTGAAAATTGATTTTGAGATAGCAGTTGACCAACAAACTCTGACCGGTGACCGAACTTTAGAGGGGGTCCTGGACCCCAACCGCTCACCGGTGCCCATATTTGGAAGTTTGAATGATCTCTCCTCTAGGGAAGTGTTGTTATTGTCAGTGGTGATGATATAGCCAGCCCCACTTCCTGAGTCTGTACGTGACCCGTCTGTGTAGCAGTGTTGTTGTAAATATTTGTAAGGGATCCCCCCCCCCCCCCCCCCCATACTAGATAACTCCTTCCGGTAAATTTGATTCGATCAAAGCCAGATATTACGTCAGCCCAATAGGTACAGGAATACCTCGCAACTGTTTTTCTTGTAAATTTGTGGGTTCGTTTTCTTTTTGAGCTGACACGAAATGATTCATGAAATACACGTGAAGGGCTTTTGAAAAGCTCTGCACTCTGCATAAAATCATTAGTCTTTGTTTGTGGCAGCCAGGGTCAAGAGGTGACCGGGATTCCCGGTTCCGGGAATCCCGGTACCGGGATTGGCAATTTTGAGCTATCCCGGTCCCGGTCCCGGTCAAATGCTGATTTATTTATTTATGATCCCGGTCCCGGTTAATTCGGGATTCTTGGTCCCGGTCCCGGTCCCGGTCAATCACTCAAATTTGCCGGGATTTTGACCGGGATCTTTTACATAATTTCATTCATTGTGATTTTAAGTTTTTCCTTTCATTCATTGTGAATTTCATCTTTAAACATCCTCTGAGCCAAATACAACAATGTTTAAAATTGCTAAACAAGTTTGAGTAATAAATTATGATCATGAATTAACCAGTAATCGACCGGAATTCCCGGTACCAGGAATCCCGGTACCGGGATTGGCAATTTTGAGCTATCCCGGTCCCGGTCCCGTCACATTTTTCATCCCGGTCCCGGTCCCGGTAAATTGATAATCTCAGTCCCGGTCCCGGTCCCGGTCCCGGTCCCGGTAAGGCCTGAAATCATGTCCCGGTCACCTCCTGGCCAGGGTTCAATTTTCTTTTTTAGATCAGTCCATTCGAATAAATTTTAACTTTTAAGTGTTAGTCGTTTATTAACCGCTAATATTGTACTTATATTATCATTATGATAAATCATATTTGATGGCCTTAATCAATTTAACCGCAACTCCTTGCAGTACAGCTATGTTGAAACTATCAGTACTAATACTGCTGTGTCTTGTGACATTAGGAGACAGTAAGGGCGTTAACAAGTGGTGCACCCACAACAATAAGTTTGTATACACTTATTCTTCTGGAACACACGCCTATAGGGACCTCAACACAGCAAAGACCCAGTGCTTACAGAAGTCAGATTGCTTTGGTATCACCCGAGAGGGGGGCTGGAGGTACACCTTAAGAAAGGACTGGAGATTGAGAGACAGTCCTAGTGGCGAGGTGACCTATGTGCCGTGTGGAGGATATTTCAAGTGCTCCCAGTTTGGTTTGGTCAACAGGTGGGGCAAGTTTTTGAGTGCTCAGCCGGATGGTACCGTCGACTGGGATAGGAGCTACTATGGCAGCTATGAAGTTATCAGATTCGTTCAGAATGGCAAGGACACCGGCTCCCTCAAGTCTAAATGGAACAAATACCTTTCAGCCTCTACCAGGCACCATCTGGTGTGGAACAGGAATGCTGCATATAGCTTGGAAAGGTTTAAGGTGCACCAGTACGAGGATAAAGTGGCGTTCCAGTCGTACCACGGCAGATATCTGTCAGCACAACAGGACGGCACTGTGGATGTGGATAGGACCAAGGCGTATAGTTGGGAGTGGTTCACAGTCCACCCGCAGGCTTGCTTGAATAACATCGAGTGTGACTGTTCCAAAACCATCAACCGTGATGACTATGAGTTTAAATCAGTTACATATGACACAACAGGGGGGCACGTTAAGGCGTTTGCGCCTGACAGGGTGGGGTACCAGCACATAGATAACAGAGACGGGTCAGTCACACAATCCTCCACCTTCACGGTGAGCGAGTCAGTTCAAGAAACGGCCACATTCACACACACAGCTGGAGCAAGCGTCACTGTTGGTACTGAGTTCTCAGTTGGAATACCGTTTGTGGGTGAGGGTACAGTTACAGCGTCAATTACGGCCAGCTACTCCTTTTCTGCAGGTAATTCGAGATCGGAGACCAAGACAAAGACAGCTACATTCAACTGTGCGGCTTCGGCTGGCAAAAGTGTCACGTGTGAGGCTCTTCTCTTCAAATACAGGTCAGGATAATCTCATCATAGAAAAACATCGTAAATCATGCTGGTTAGTGGTTAATCATGGAACAACGATTGATAACCGCATCGGTTAAATTAGATTATGTTGGCTTTCAAAGATTCACTTTATTTGCGATTAACTTTCCGATTAAATGTCCATGTTGATAAACTTCGTAACTTCATAGGCCACCCCAAGTGGATAACTCAACTCAGGCTAATGTTTCAGGGCTACAATTCCTTACACCCAGACATGGCAACACAAGAGACTGCCTTGTACCTGCACCAGTACTGGACAGTTCACAGAGATATCAGCTGACGAGATGAGAATGACTATAACTGAGGAATAGCTTAGTTAGAGAGGGCCACTATATTATACTTTATAGTCGTGTTACTAACTGAAAATTGTGGTGAATGGAGCGGCCGACTACTCTTACTACTACTTGACTTGAATCTTATAATCATTGATTTTGGCAAAAAGGGAAAAATTGGGAAAACATTTCATTTTAACAAAATATGCTTTATTATGGTATCGTTTGATTTCTTTGACGAATGAAAGAATAAAAAAGGGGGTAAAATGGAGAAGAAACAGATAAGAGTTAAAAACTCCAACAAATTGTTGATTCGCTTTATAAACGATATTTTGTATCATGTGTATGGTAGTTTAACTACCGCCGTCTGAAATGAATTGTCAGCAATACCACGTGATGCTAATAAATTGAATCTTTTGTGTTGCATTTTCTTTAAAGAAGTAAGAGCTGAACAAGGTTTTACACGATTTTTTTCCTATGCAGGTCTTACAGCACAGCTGATATTGCCCTTTAAATTCCCTCAATTTTGTTTTCAATAGATTTCTTGATACAAATGAGACATGGTGTCTTCATTTAAAAAGGGTACTTACTCGCAAGTAATGTGTTTAGAGTTAGTTACAGGCAGGAACTCTCCGCTCATGGGTAGCTGTTGGTGCTGATCCAACTTGTCCCCTGACTCGCACCCCTGAAAGTAATCAAATCTTATTTTTAATTTCTATTACTGTAGAGAATTGGGTCATACTAAAATGATTTCCCATCGTAAAAAGTAAACAGCAATTCGTCTTTATGTTCGTAATCCATAACGATAAATTGAACACTTTACGATTCAGAACCTTCGAGCCGTTCTAGTTTCTACTGCGTGTAGAATTTACATTTATAAACACAAAGATCTGCAGCCTGTTATTCATGTAGTACACACTATAAATCTTAATAAAGGAACGTTCTCATATCTCATGTTGTGCTAGTAAGCTAATCTGAGGAACTAACGTCGTAGTGCAGTTCACTCATGAGGTGCTTGAATCTTGTGCTGTGTCCATCTGCTCGCAGAGTCAGGATACGGTAAAACTTCGCCTTCATCTTGTCAATCTGTCAGTATGAGAGTAGGGGGTTTAAAAGTTAGTAAAAGGTAGTATTTACAAGCACTGCAAATCCACATATCGTGCGAGTTCAGAGTGATTAAATGCGGGCGTATGATTGGCTTTTAATTCTGATTTATGAAGGACTTTTCGGATTTCAAGTGTACCTGAGCTGATCTGAGTGTGTTTAAGATTGGTGCACTTTTGAATTAACCATAATTTCTACGTTGAGTTTATTCCAGAGAGTTGAAACTAATTTACGACAATATTTCACAACTAATTCCGCAGCACTTACGTCACTGGAACTCCTGTTGTCAACTTGCACGTGCATCTGCGCGGTCTCTCCACAGTAGTAGGCACCCTTATCTGCCTCCACCATCATCTCAACTTCTCCTCGAGGTATGCAACAACACATCATAACCTGAGGGATAAACAATCTCAAATATTTTACTCGGGTAAAAGTTCTTTTATTTCAGACAGGACGGAGTCGTCTACTAAAACAATTAAGTTAAACAAAATAGTTACCGTCTCAGTTTTGGACATCTTGCCGATAGGAATTGTGTTAAGTGGAACACTGAGGATGGCGACATCTAATTTTCCCTTCAGATCTTTGGCGAATGCACCATTTACGTCAACAGTTCCTTTGAAGGTGTACTCAATCTTTGCTTTTATTTTATTGTCTTCTCCGTGGCTCCACTGGTTATCCTTGAATTTAAACGATGCTGGCAACTGCAAAATGTACAATTAATAAATAATAAACATTAATGATTAACCTCTTATGAATATTGCGAGGTGTGCTAAGAGAACTTGCACACAGTGGCCACTGCTTTCCAGAGGCGGCTCGTGGGAGCTGGCTGGCAGTTTTGTTGGGGGTCCATTCGATGGACTGGGGGGGAGGGGGGCTTGGGAGCCGGCTCAAGCTGATCCCTCCAAACTACCGATTACATTACACACAGGGCCTTGTAAATGTAATGTGTAACACTTTACATAACAGGCGACAGCAAACAAAAACAAAAACTTATAACATGGGTGAAACAGGACACCACACGTGTACGATCTCAGCCGCGCAGTATCATATAGCAGTCAAATTGCAAAGGGTCCTGGACCCCCAAATCGAGGCAAATCATAATAGATTACCTGTAGTGGGATGCGCACGATGTGCTTTGTAACGTTTACAATTAACTATGTGTTAAAACTGCGCGGCTGAGTAGTCCAGAGGTAGGATTGGACTCCCTACAACACAAAATTTCACGAAGATCATGCGTGCGCTTACATTAAAACGTATGATAGTAAATGAAGACCTTTATATTGCGATTTGTTATTTCCTAACACTATTACTAATTACTATTTCTATTTTAAGCACCAGCCACCAGATAATAATTTTAAGGCGTCCACGGACGCCTGGACGCCCTCAATAGCCGCCTCTGCTGCTTTCACATCAGAAAGAAACAATATCCAACTCAAAGTTAAATTAGGAGATTGGTTGAAATTTGGTTTCGCTTACATCCATTGGAAGTTGAAACTGGAACGGATAAATCCATTGTCCTGCAGGAATCTGAAAAAGATAAGAGATTAAGGAAAGGAAAATATCTGATCTCGCCCAAAGTCCGCGTGACCTCCTATCAAAAGAAGCTAAAAATGTCGCTCTATGGAAAATTTATTCTAGATACCGTATTCCTTGAATCCTTTGGAGCCCTTACTTCACTTGTTAACGCCACATGAAGACGTTCAAGATACGCGAAATATGCGGGTTCACCATTGATCGTGGGAAATATCGTTTAAATTAAATAAATAAATTAATTAAAACAGAGTGCATGTAAGCCACGCGCGCAGGCCGCGCTTTTCGATCGAGCGATCAATAATTACATCCACAGCGCGATTGCCTTTATGTCTGTATGTAGTGGCGCCAGCGCGTACCATATACCAATCATGGCGGGCGCCGAACTTTCTTATTCTTAGTTATTGACAGGCTTAAACAAAGCTACGACCTCTGCCATGGAAACATTATATAAGCACAAATTTGTGCTTATGAATAAATTTCACATGACTAACATAGGCCGAACTACCTAGCTTGAGAAAGAATTTAGGACCATGTGTGGCTTGATGGCTATAAGTTAAGTCACCCAGTAACAATACACCCAGTAACAAGACACGGCTTTCACACAAACATTTTTTAAAGAAACTGAAATATTGATCTGTTCTTAGTACCACTGTTGGAGGAACTTAATATAACCTTTAGGTGTACACTGTATACCGTATGACTTATGAGATGAGCTACTATCCACCTATACTGTGCACACATAGGATTACCGCGCCTGTAACGACTAATGCACAGTGGACTGATGATTCATTTTCACACACTCACAGGCCACACTGCTATCTTATTATTAGTATGTAATCTAATGTGGCCACAGTCCTGAATATGTGGAATTGAATCAGTAAATAATTGACATTTTTACGGACAGCATATTAAAATAGATATTTGCTCACCACAGGCCGGGCCTTTATCACTCTTGCTTAATACGTTTAGACCTCAGCAACAATATACAATATGAGAAAAACTGATTTCCTACGCCAAGTCTAGTTCACCGTTATGAGTATTAAGAATATAATATGTAACTATCAATATAATAGTAACTAACACTATGTAGGTTGTGGAGTCTAATCTCCAAAAATTAAACTTTCCCATGAGCACTTGTGAACAAGCGACACCATTACAATTAGATAAAGATCCTTAGTATTTCCATTACCGAGCGTAAAGCTAGTAATAGTAACACAATCACGACTATGTCACTTAGTCAGGTTTTTTATTGTAAAATAGTGGAAATTGTACTTAACCTAGTATAGCAAGTTTGACGGTCTTGTTATTTTAAAATAGTACCACTATGTTTAAAGTCGGTAATAGAAATCAAGAATTTCTGATGTGAGAGCGGCTCTTTCCAATAACTCTAATAATAATGCACAGTAAATTTTACTAGGATGGAAATAATATCTACTTTTGGATTAAAATCTCACTATAACACAAAGAGATAATTATGAGAGAACTAATTGTGAGAGAGATAATTATGTTGGAACAAAGTGCTAGATATTAAACACGTCCTTGCTAAGAGCATGGAGATGCTTAACAATCCTCCGAGACAAAAGTATGCATTCTTAAATATAGGTATTATGTTTAACAAAGAATACAGCTGACAATAGACAATGAGGAAACTTGGCATTCTGTTGGAATGATCTGGGGCAAACCTTGAGCACAGCACAAAAATGTATATCTATAGTACAGTCAAGCAACGGTCGACTTAGGGGACTAGAGGAAATCCGGGGAGAGAGAGAGAGAGAGAGAGAGAGAGAGAGAGAGAGAGAGAGAGAGAGAGAGAGAGAGAGAGAGAGAGAGAGAGAGAGAGAGAGAGAGAGAGAGAGAAAGAGGGAGAGAGAGAGAGAGAGAGAGAGAGAGAGAGAGGGAGAGAGAGTAAGGGAGAGAGGGAGAGAGTAAGGGAGAGAGAGAGGGAGAGATAGAGGGTGAGAGATAGAGGGAGAGAGAGAGAGAGAGAGAGAGAGAGAGAGAGAGAGAGAGAGAGAGAGAGAGAGAGAGAGAGAGAGAGAGAGAGAGAGAGAGAGAGAGAGAGGGAGAGAGAGAGAGAGAGAGAGAGAGAGAGAGAGAGAGAGAGGGAGGGAAAACAGAGAGAGAGGGTGAAGAACAGGACCTGGGAAAGAGGACATCTATACTTTGAATTTTTATTTTTCTGTTCCAACTACTCAGGTGTTCCCTAGACTAGAGCTCTAGAGATCTAACCCAAGTGATCTTTGTACTTCGAGAATTATGCAAAGTCACTGACAGTGAACAGAAGCGTTATAAATTGAACAGTGAACAGAGCGTTGTAAATTCTTCAAAACAAATAATCTCTTACTGAACATTTTACATAGCAAATTTATACTTTTACAGTTTTCTATTATGTCAATGTAACTGAACTTAAAGTCGATAATTAGCACTAACATACTTATGTAACATTGGTATTATTAGGAACAATGAACATGATATGAACATCAGCTAGATAATCAGTAATTTGTGAAGCTGGCAGTTAAATACACGTATTTAAATTTGATATATTGTGATAAATTGGGAGAGAAAATCCACTCTTGCACACTTCAGCCTATAATTATTCTGTTACATTATGAACAGTTATAATTACAAATTAAACAAACCCATAATGCATAAAACCTATTATTCTTACACTATCACTGTCCACAGTAAAGGTGAGAATGTATATTGTAGAGCTGCTTATTGCACCTGGCCTTTCCTGGCCAAATCACTGAGAATCCTGACGACAAGTTACTTCAAATACCATCTCCTAATATTACGGAAACTATAATAAGCTGTAATTAGCTTAGAGGCCTGAAGCCGTCCTTGAAACCAGATGCTCGCACATTCCTCACGCTAGCACATTTCTCATTACTTTCGTAATCATGTTATCAAATTGTCATGTAACCTGATACAAAAACGATATAATTCTGAAAGTCTCATGATTCTCCACAATTCTTTTAAATTCAGGGGAAAAATAAACAAAAGTTGCGATTGTCAGCAACTCACCGAAGTACGTCCCTGACTAAGAGGGATCTTCATTTTATACAGTTCCTTACTACCATCAAAGTGAACTTCATACGACTCCGTGTGACTCTCTCCATCCCCATCGTCTATTGTCCTGTTTGAGGGTAATAGTGAGCAACTGAGCAGGGGGAGGGGGTGTACCGTTCAGCAAACAGCTTGAGATCCAACCTCGTTTATCATTCTCCCCCTCCCCCCTCTAGCTCTCCCCTCCCCTTCCTCCCCCTTTCCTCCTTTCCTACCCGTTTTACTGGCCAAACCATTAGAGTAAGTTTAACTAAATCTTTACAAAAGATATATCTATAATATATATTATAGTGAAATAATGTCAGATCAGCGTTGCTAAAAAATTGAAAGTCCGAAATCCAAGTAGAAGAAACCGTTACCAATATGTCATGTTGTCACTCTAAAGGCGAGTGCAAATTGATCAAGTTAGTAGCTAACAAAAAGAACGAAAAGCTCGCAAACCCTTACAGAAAAACAAAAACAACAAAGTGAAGTGTGAAGAATAAAGATGCTTGAGATATTATGTCCGTGTGGGTGTGGTAAAGGAGTCAACGACGTGATTGAGTTGGAGTGGAGTGCAGATGTTAAAGTGCAAATGAAGGGGATGCGGAGGAAAGGCGAAGTTTCGAACTGTGACACTAATGTTTGTGTTTCGAATTAAAAAATGACAAAATTCTTCATTCCTACATCTTACTTAGGTAGTGTAAAAAAGAACTACCACGTGCAGCTGCACCAGTCTTTTCAGATGCACTGATATTGCGCAGATTACCGTGGATATCCAATATATACAAGTTTCTCCACTTTTTCCGTGCCCACGCACTGATTTGTTAGAAACAGATTTAAAAGTGCGTTTTTTAAAATTTTTCGTGCGTAAAGTGCGTTCGGTTTTAAAAGTGCGTTTAGAATTAGTGCGCACGAACCAACTATGGACTTGATACATCTTTTACAAGCAAGAGCCAACCTTCGAGAGAATATCTTCGATCAGATTTGCAAGGGTTTTTGCTTGACCGTCTTTTTTCCAGTTTCCGCTCTCATTAGCGATTCATCAAGCGCTTTTTCCATGGGATTTATTTTCGTTGACTTACATATTGCGTAGTCTGAACTCTGATATCATTGTGGTAATTCATTTTCTCGAAGCTGCAAGATTTCGCAGTTTTTATGAATTCCTGGGTGCAGATAATTATACTTACGTACGTATATAGAATTTAAATAGAATTAAAGTCTATATACCAAGCGCTTAAGGGCTGTTCCAATCTATAAATCAGTTTTATATTGGAGAAACTATTTTAATTTAGTTTCGCCCAGGGTATAGGTTATAAAAATAAGATTTCAATGATGTTTTTCCGTTTATTAATGCGATCTCGGAAGGCAGGCCTGTGGTAATTGATAAAATACAGTTGTGGAACACAAGAAGAAAATTGAGAATAATCTTGTGCACGAGGGTAGGGACCCAGATGTCGTTTCTAACCCGAATAAGGATAGGAACGCCTTTGATCTCATTGATCCTCCTTAGAGATAACAGACAACTGGTAACAATTGCATATAATTCCCACGAAGTTGACAGCCGACAGGGTATCCATTCTACTCTATTTGCTATTGGGCTCTTAAATTAAATCAGTTCAAATAGAGATATACAATAACTACCTGTGACCAATCTAGTCTCTATTGTGAAGATGTTAAAGTGCAAATGAAGGGGATGCGGAGGAAAGGCGAAGTTTCGAACTGTGACACTAATGTTGGTGTTTCTTCTTGATAGGAAATCGTATTCTGCGTATCTGAGCGACGAACTTGGTGAATTCCACTATGTGCTCCGGTAGAAATCTAGGTTCTTCATGTCATGAAATAGCAAAGACTTTGTGGGCTCCTTCATGTTAGTCCTACTGGAATGGTACCTGGGACATGTTCAAAGGAAGTGTTCTTCATCTTCTATTATCGGATCAACACCTGGAAGATTAAGGAGGAGCTCTATCACGGACTTTTCGCTGCATTCACAGATTCTGTGATGTCGACTACTATTTCTGCTCCCATATCTTCCAGTTTCTACGTTTAGCTTATGTCCACTCATTCGGATCCTAGTGACTAAGTTGCTTCCAGTTCTCGACGGTAGAGTGAGGTACGGCTCCGCTTTGAAAGCCCCATTAACTTTATTGTCGAAAGTAAGCTTCTTACTGCTTTGTCTTTCTGTTTCCCATAGCTTAATAAATCGGTTGTGTGCCCTTTTTGACATAGCAATGGGTTGTAAAGTTGATGTTCTAGTTTGTTCTCGTCGAGTATCATTATCATCGATTCCAGTACTCTGAACCAACCTAAGTTAAGTTTCTTCTGCTCAACAAAAGCGTGCCTGGACGGAGCTGGTGAGTCTTCTAGGTCAAGTCTTGCAAGTTTTGCCAACTCTAAGGGTCCATTTAAGGATGGCGAGATGCATTCTTTCGAATGGGTCAGCTGCAATGCCTGCCAGTAGGGATTGCATCGGATTGTCAGTAGTGCTGGCAAAAGCCTTAATTCCTGAGCTACTACTGATCTAGACTTCTATTCCATAGGAGTTAGGACACACAGAGTGTTCACTTGAATCTAATATAAGGAAACATCCGTGCACACGATAAACTGGACATTAAGTATTTATGTATATAAGGTCTGAGTTGTTGCAGAATGATAACACTACGGACCAGTGTAAGTAGTTAAGGATGTGCCTGACAGCTGTGTTTTTATACATTGTACAGTGAGTACACCACCAAGGAAGCAAAGACTTACACTTGTATTATATCACGGACGAACGACACTAAACTGTAGTTATTCAATGAGTGTAGTATTCCTGAGGTTAGGAGTATTATCTCTATAATATTATTTCTATAATTGTGCATATTATTGAGGTGGAATATAATGGAACTGTGTAACAATGTGGGTCAATAAAGGGACATCTAATCACCAGTCAGGGACTAGGACATAACCTTAACAAAAGAGAGTACACATTATAGAGATAATATAATGTGTACACTCTTCAATCTTCTTACAGTTATCTTTGTGATAATTCCTGAAATAATAAAACAGCCAGGGATCGACCGGGGACGAAATTTAGCCGGGGCCGGGACCAAGTTGAATCAGCCGGGGCCGGGATTAACCGGGATTTTGAAATGTTGCCAAGGCCGGGGCCGGGGCCGGGATTGGCTAAAATATGCCGGGGCCGGGATTTTTTAATCTAATTTTGAAAATTTTTGAAAGTTTCCGGAAACTCGTATCAATGTGAGCTAGCTTCAAGGTCAACCTAGAAGGCAGCTACACAATGTTTAAAGGATGAGGAACGATTATTTCTCTTTAATAGTTAAATGTAACTCAGAAAGGCTTTCTTGTAGCCGGACATAGATATTTCGGACACTGAAGCTGACACCGGAAACGAGTAGTCATCTGTGATCTGATGACTATCATCATCATCTGCATTGAGTCGGCCTCACTCTCTACTGTTTTTTGCTCCTGAACTAAATTGTATGACGTTTGTACTAGTTATATGAAAGAAAACGGTACACGAACACATGACTTTACTCGAACTTTTTAATCAACCTCGAACTTTTTTAATCAACATTAATATTTTACATTCTTTGTAAATTCAAAGTTGAAATTTTCTGAATATCAAACTGGAATGATGTCAAGTCCTCGTATTTATATTTTTCACTCGATCTCATGTTACCGAAAATTTTGTGTTTAATTTAAGTCTAAAAATCAAGATAAATTCTGACAATCTATCGGTTTAAATTGAGGCAGAAAATACGAGAAATCCCGGCAAAATCCCGGCAAAAATTGACAAAAAGCCGGGGCCGGGATTGGGGGCCTCTGGCCGGGGCCGGGATTTTGAAAATTGTTTTGCCGGGGCCGAGGCCGGGGAAAAACACAAATCCCGGCCGTATCCGGGGCCGGGGCCGGGATCCCGGTCGATCACTGAAAACAGCACACTCTACAGTCTACAGGTTGTACAAGTGGTACAGGTTATATACATGTGATACAGGCTACAGTTTACTAATAAATAAAGTTGTTGAGTGTTGGGCCTGTATTTACGAGTGTATCAGGTGTGACTGTGTGTTAGAAACTGATATTTGGTATTGATAGAATAAGTTTCACACATTCTCCCCATCCCGAGAGGCCCATTAAATCAGAGATCTAATTTCTATTTTCTTTACAATTTCACTTCACGTGCTTTCAAACCAATAATTATAATTATATAAGACAATTCACAAAACATCGAATCAGATTATCACTGCCCACTGTAGCTGTACAACTAGCATATCATTGTGAGTTACCATGACTACCTGTTGTTTGGAGGGAAATCAAGGTTGCTATGGTGGAGAATACAGCATAACATAATCAGGAGAATTCATGACGTGATTGTAATTGGTCCACTATCACGTGTACAAAAAGCAGCTGAGATCGTACTGATTATAATTTATGATAAGGTAAAGAGTTTCTATATAATATTTTGGATCTGTTAAACCTGAATATAGGGTATCGTTGACGTCATTGAGGTCTTCTCTAAGTGATTATTTAATTTATCAGTCGAAAGCCTGAGCAATATTTTTATCTCCGGAACTAAATATTTAACTGCTTGATTACATTACTGATAAAGTATGACAACATGACGATTTATTAATACTTTTAAGGTAGGTATAGGTATTAAGGTGCATGACATAATGCATGCGAGTTTAAATTCCAATAAAATCTAGGATTAAAAAAATATTTGTCTTATCATCATGACGTCTTACTCTTACTCTTACTATCGAAAGCTCCTAAAACGAACTAGCAGATTTATACTAGTATAGTCAGCAGAGCCGGTTTTCAAAATTTAAAAAAATTTAGTTTTTTAAAACTTATTTTTTAACTTAAAAGTAACATGGTACAAGCTGCAAAGCCTTTCTTCGTTGATATCACATAATCTTAGCTGTAATCAATATCACTGATAGACCCTTAAACAGAAAGTGTATGTAGCCCGCGCCGGTAGCATGTCCCTCTCCCGCCTGGCAGCATGTCCCTCTCCCGCCTGGCAGAATGTCCCTCTCCCGCCTGGCAGCATGTCCCTCGACCCTCTCCCGCTCCCCAAATAATAATGCCCACCTTTGTCTCGTCTCTTGCCAGTAACATTTCTCTTTTCCCTTACACTGCACGATCACAGCATCGCACTCCACCTCCTCCTTCAGATCAACGAACACGTTACCGTTTACAAACTGAGGGGATAGGCTCTGTTAATTTCACTTTTTCAACTGTTGGGATAAATGGATAATTGTGGCAGAAAGTAGAATTCATTGTTCAAATTATTTAAAGATTACTGAAATTATCTGAGCCGATCATTGTCCCTACCGAATCTCTACTAGTAGCGACAGTCGACACGACAATAAAAATGTAAATAGTTGGAATAAGAGTCTCTAACTAAAGATTTATAACATGACTTATAACATTTAAAATGGTTTGCTCGTCTGTTTACAAAGAGACCAGAGATTTATAAAAAGTACCTTGACGAATAACATATCAGCAGATAATTTTGGCCCTCCTGTTCATCATCGTTGCAGGTCAAATAATGACCTGCAACGATTAGAAGTATAAGTAAAGCGCGATGTTATTGTAGGGGCATCGAATAATTTGCTTCGTCTAATAAAGTCAGTGGTATATTGCGTACAGTACTTTATCGGTTTAATTCTTCAAGTAAAATTTTAAAAAGTGCGTTTTCAGCACTTTTGTATCACAGATTAAGTATTTTCCAGTGAAATTTTCATATTGTGACGTTATCAGCAAAATGTGATATAAAGATGTATGTACATATGCATATTGTACAACTATTTTATCGACCAACGGGATGGCATGTTACACAAGCAATCTACTCATTGTGCCAGGAACTTATCTGGGAGATTCTAACGTGCTATTATAATGTGAACTATTCCCTAAATTTGTATGAGATATTTTAACAGTCTTTGAAAGTTACATTATAATATTATGGTCAGCATGGCACGCCGGTTTCCTGTTTGTTTTTGTCTTTTTGATCCAGTGATTGTCCGGTAGTGGAGACGACAACTTCCCCGTGTTACATGATGACCCACATTATTATCAAGCGTGCGGACTTGAAGCCAGGGAGGTACAAAACAGGTTAAGTGGGACTGCGTGTGGAGACTTCTTGTGTAGAAGAAAGAAGTACATAGTGAGTCCAAGAGATTGTTGGTCATGGATGCCATTAATTAGACCACCGTGTTACTGGTTCAAATCTCAAGGTAAGCTCTGTAATGACAGTCCTGACCGTGTCAATACAAACATTGATGAAACTGATTGCGATAAAGCTAAAACTGGAAAGAGTTCTTTACTAAAAAAGGTTTACACTGAAGGTGGTGAGTGTAACGGTACATTAGCCATAGTAATAGGTGACGGATATCATTATACATACTTTGAGGATGAGGGTGACTGCAATGGCTATAAGTATGGACTACACAGTGGGGTGACTTATGTTCCACCAATTGAAGTGTTTTATCGTAAGTCCCAGTGTGCCGTGTGGCCCCAATGACATTGAGGACATCTGCACTACGAAAAAATGTACACAAAATTCCTGCATCAACAGAAAAGCTGGCAAATTACACATGTAATGTGTTTCATCACTTCCATTAATTGGATGATTTCGTATACCAGATATGAGTACAAATCCCGTAGGCGCCTTAATGCTTTTAAGCTTTGTGACGAGGATTTAGGTGATCCTCCTGAACAATACTTCAGTAACAGTCAAAAATTTTATGGATCAGTCGAACTGCACTGACCCTGATAGGACAGAAAAGAAGTGTAACATTGGGGTATACTTATCCACGGTATCCAAGTTAAAGATATGTGTCAGTAATCCAATTTGTGATGATGCCCTCGACACTAACTGTATTATTTTATCACCATTTTGTTACGTGCACAAACATATGCTCTGTGACAACATAGTTGACTGTCAAGATGAAAGTGATGAAACACATTACATGTGTAAGGGCACCACAGAGAAGGGTTGTCAGCGGATGACTTGGAAAGTTGGTGTCCTCCCGCTGCCACTGTCTTGGCTGCACGGTGGAGTGGAGGACTGTTTGGATGGGAGTGATGAGAAGGAAGGATGGATGACTTGCGGTGTTGGCGTTGGTAAGACGGTTTGTGCGAGACAACTCCTCATGTGAGAACGTGCTGCTGTGCCAGATGATAGATCCAGACTATGTGGAGTTTAATCTACTTTGTGATGGGAGGGAGACATGTGGTAATGAACAGGAAATGTGTAAAAAGTCCCACGAGAAGAAGAGCCTATCCAGAAGAGCAATGACGACAAACAGGGGCCTTAGCAAACTTCTCTCATACTGCATAGACGGACTATCGAGTGTCCAAAATCAGGCCATGTCATGTACCACTCATGAATTTATCTTTCCTAAGCAAGAGATGTTTGGAAATGAGGCAACGAAAGTACATTTACCTAAAACTGCCAAGAATTGCGATAATCTGTATGGAGAGGATTATGTCTACAATAGCTGCAATGGCAGATGCCTTAACTCTTCCTGCCCTCTGAAAGACATACCCAAGTATGAGTCATGTCCTGGTCAGTATCCAAACAGAGTGGGAACATTAGTCAACAATGAGTACATCACCTTCTTTAGAACGTCATACTACAACGTCTACGTCAACGATTTCTTTGTCTGTAAAAACAGTTTAAAGTGCGTGGACTATGCCCAAGTTTGTGACCTGGTAGATGACTGCGGGGATGGGTCAGATGAGGCACAATGCACCAACCACTTCCAGTGTAAAGACAACCAAACACGGCAGTACATACCTGTAACAAAGCTGTGTGATGGGCGAATCGACTGTCTAGATTTAACTGATGAATGCAATAAGGAGTGTTCTACAGAAATACTGAACAATGGCCATCTTAAGAGAATTTCTTGGACAATAGGAGTTTCTTCTGTGGCAGCAAACTCAGTTATTATGGTTAGGACCCTCATCTCCCTCAGAAAGTCCAGGACTTCTGTTGCGTTCATCAACAAATCCTTGATTCTAGCAATAAGCATCATGGGTGACCTAATGGTAGGGTCATATCTTCTAGCAATATCGGTTTTGGATACAGCAGTTTTTGGGAAAGACTGCTGCCTGAGGCAAACAAATTGGATGACCAGTTTTGGATATTCAATGCTAGGAATCTTCAGCACTTTTGGTTCTCAGGTCTCCCTTTTCTCTATGACAGGACTCAGCCTGGTAAGGCTGTTTGGGATTTGGAATTCTATGAGGATTCCAAAGGATGAATAGACGAATCTCAATGATCATAGGATCAGACTTTCTATGCTGGGCACCCTTTATTATCACCTGCATCCTTCACTCACTAGAGCTTGTAGATGCTACTGACTGGTAGATGCTACTGACTGGCATGCTCAGAGAAAAGGATCCGGTGGATAAGCTTATGGTGGCAAGGAGTAGAGGATAATAGACAATTTTTGAGGTAAAACAGGTAGATTAACAGGATAAGCCTACACATGCAGAGGTGACTTCTCTTGTTTGAAACTCTGGTGAGTGGTGTTGTCTATGTAATTGTACAACTCTAATTGAGGGGCTGCAACAGTTGAACCACTGAACTTGAACTATTGACAGAATTATCATGAAATAACCAAACTCGCTTAATCAATTTAAACAAAAACATGCTGTACTCTCACATGACACATAGAATGGAGCTTCTACAAAAGATAATGACTCTTGTTGAGGTCCCCTGAATATAAGAATGAATGAGGTCCTCTTCATGACACATTTAAATGAAACATTAGTTAAACATTTATGTATAAATCATTGTACTGTAAACTATATTGATTAAGTATTAACCATCATGTACAAACCTCTCCAGGATAGTAGGTTGGCTTCTCTGTGTTCACATGAATTTTCCCCTTCTTTCCGAATCCCATCTGTTTGCCGAGCCCCATGTTTGTAGCACAGCTAGTAAAGTTTTGGTTTTAAATATTTCCCTACTACTGTATATAACTTGATACTAACTTAATACTCCCGGTCATAATTTTCATGACGCCTCCATTCAAATTATTGATTTTATTGACCCTTCCTCTACTGAAGACCCTCGTCTGGCCTTAGCTGACAGGGAACTTCTTTGGATTAATCTCCTGAGCACTGCTCACCCTCTAGGTCTCAATGACAACATAAAAGGTTCTGGTAATATTTCTAAAAGCAACTTTAACGATATTTATTTTAAAAATAAAATAAAAAGATATAAAAGAGGACATGGCAGAAAAAAGAAAAACAAAAGCCATGAAGATAGAATATACAAAAGGACTCTCACTTTAAGAGAGATTGACAATAAATATGAAAGTTTAAAAAGAAAAATGTCTGAAAGCAAATACAGCTTTTATAAAGATATAAGTAGCCTTCAAAAAGGCGAGCTCAAGCAACTTAGCTCTCATTCCCTCTGCAAATCTGGAGCCATTTTCCTTGTTATACAATCTTTTGCTGGCAGCACTTCTTCTCCTAATATCACCTCTCATTTTCCTTGTTATACAATCTTTTGCTGACAGCACTTCTTCTCCTAATATCACCTCTGTTAATAGCGAGTTTATCACTTTTCACTATTGTTCTAAAATATTTGATAAACTCCGAATAGAATCAGTCATTCGTGACTCTAGGATCTTGACTCTTCTCCCTCCAAACCTTACGCCTTTCCTTCCCTTAAAAGTTTACTATAAGTACGATATTCCTGTCGGGCGTAAGCTTTTTAATTATAATAGATTCCTTAAATCACTTGATAATACTACTATTTCCTCCATCCTGGAAGGTGATTGCCCCTGTTCTAGTAACCCTTATTGCTATCAGCCTCGAGGCCACATCATCACCGGTGACCTTGCTTTCATTGAGCACGAGGATTTAAGAGGCATCATGAGTTACGGTACCAAATTTAGGGAACCTGTGTCTGTTCCTCCTGAGCAAATCTTGGAGAGCCTCAACGAGTGTTCAGCCAACTTCGCCACCCGTATGGCTAGGAAGCATGGACTTTCATGTTTGGAATTCCAGGATTGGAAAGATGAGGTCTCCCGGATCTTCACCAATCGCCTTAACTTCCTCTCCTCCTCCCCTAATAACTTCACTCCCTACAATTCCATTCTACAAAGGGATGATGTTAAATCTTATCTCGACAGTCTTTCTTCTTCTTTTATTATTTGCTCCGTAGATAAAGCTTCAAATAATTATGTTTTTGTCTGCAAGAAGTTTTATCTTTTAACCCTTCTCAACGAACTTGGCTACGATCTCACTTCTCTAGAGTGTCGTGGCAATTCTACTTATCATCCGGTTAACTCTGTAGAGGATGATATTATTCAGGAACATGTGAACTTCATTAAAGATAACTTTAATATTCGTGTTTCCGAGGACAACCTTTGTCTACCGAGAATCTTTTGGATTCCTAAACTTCACAAGAATCCTTATAAGTCTAGATTTATAGCTGGGGCCAGTAAATGTACCACTAAGCAGATATCAGTTGTAGTCAACAAAGCTTTAAAAGTTTTAAAAGAATACTTTTCCAAATACTGCAACTCTATCTACAACAATACTGGAATTAACTGCGACTGGAGCATTAACAGCTCTAAACAGTTCCTGGAAAGGCTGCCTAGACTAGAGATTTTTAATATGCAGGTATACGACTTTACCACTCTGTATACCAATCTAGACCTTCAGGTTGTACAGTCACTGCTTTTCGAGCTAATAGATCTCCTCTTTAGTAATACGAATAAATTTATTTGTGTTTCTCTGTATAAGAACAACAATTTTTTCTCTAAAAAGGAATATAACGGATACTTATGTTTTTCTGCTGATAAACTCAAAACAGCTATTACATTTATTCTGTTTAACACTTTTGTTTGTTTTGGGGATCAGATTTTAAGACAAACGAAAGGCATTCCCATGGGAGGGAATTCTAGTAGCCAGTTCGCTGATCTTTCGCTAGGGAAGTGTGAATTCAACTACATGACACGCCTAATCAAAGAAAAGAAGTTCGGTCTCGCTAAGCTCCTCTCAAGAAACTGCAGATATGTCGACGACCTCAACACCATGAACTATTTGCATTTCTCTAACCTAATCAGGTCCATTTATCCACCTGACCTGCTTATGGAGAGGAGTGGTGACGACAATAAGTCCGTAAACTATCTCGACATCAACATCTCGATGAATAACTCCGGACACGTCGCCACCAAGCTTTACAACAAACTTGATGACTTCAATTTTCCTGTGGTCATGTACACCTTTCCTAACAGTAATATTTCCTCTTCTGTTGGTTATAATGTTTTTTACGGTCAGGTCCTTCGTTACTCTTCCATTATCTCTGACCTTGATTCTTTTCTGTGTTCTACCAACACCCTTTATAGGACACTTCTTTCAAGATGTTATAATGACAGACTCCTGAAGAGTAAATTCAGAAAGCTTCTGAAAGACCGACCTAGTATTCTGTACAAATACAGTATACTTGATGTCAGCGACATCCTTGACATCACATTTAACGTGAACAGGTGATCACTGACGAGTGATTGCTAGGGGGTCTTGGCACATTAAACCGGTACAGGTATTAAACCCCCGAAACCGGTGTGCCAAGTCATCTGCTGATGATGTTCACATAACATTATTTCCTCTCTCCTTTATTCCTTCCGTCTTTTCTTAAACTTACAGTTCAGTTACTTTATTTCACCAGGTCTACCTAAGGATCAATTATTCTTTGGTGGGGTTTCACTTCTGGTATTGGCTTCATTCCCATTCCTTTTCCTTATTCTTTATACTTATTTTTTTATATAGTTTAATGAGATTGTTGAATCGCTGTTATTCTCATTGTATTTACTAAGCATGTTAAGAAATTAAATCGTGTTTCGATCGAATTGTGGCATGTCTTTATAGTCATTGAAATTATTGCCAAGAAATAAAACACAAAGCAGCTTTAAAAAACCTGATGCTCTTACTTAGAGAACAGCAGCAGATGCGGCTCGTGGGAGCTGGCTGGCAGTTTTGTTGGGTGTCCGACCGACTGGGGGGGGGGGGGGGGGGGGGGGGGCTTGGGGCTGCCCCAAGCTCCCCCCAACCCCCCCCCCCCCCCCCCCCCCCCCCCAAACTGCCAATGTCTATTCACCGATGACTGCATACAATACCATTACCATAACAGAGAGTTAAATAATTAATTAAATTATTCCAACGTACATTACAGTTACACACAGGCCACAGTGCCTCATGTATGTAATGTGTAACAGGCGACAGCAAATAAACAAAAACAAAAACTTATAACATGAGTGAAACAGGAGACACGCCCCACGAAAAACCTCACCGAACCTGCACGCGGTGTGGGGTGGGTGGCTCGAACGGGAGGTGCATGGGTGTTTCTAACCTATGCAAAGGAAGGGACTAGCCATCTCTACAACAAGGAAAGGCTCTAATAGCCTCTACTGACCTTAGAACCGCAACATAACCGCTTTTCCCACAGGCAAATAACACCTTCCGCAGGAAACTAACACGCTCACAGGCCCCCACATGACGTAACACTTAACAGACTCTAACACGCTCACAGGCTTCCACGTCTCATGTACCCTAGGATTTGGTTTTGGATCGGACACTCAAAACAACGATAGAGGAGCGGACTACACGCTCACAGGCTACCATGTCTCGTGTAACCCCAGGATTTTACACGTTCAAAGGCTACCACGCGCCGCCTCGTGTACCCTAGAATTTGGTTTTGGATCAGACACTCAAAACAACGATAGAGGAGCGGTATACACGCTCACAGGCTACCATGTCTCGTGTAACCCTAGGATTTAACACGCTCACAGGCTACGACGTCTCGTGTAGCCCTAGGACTCTAACACTTAACAGACTCTAACACGCTCACAGGCTTCCACGTCTCATGTACCCTAGGATTTTTGGATCGGACACACAGTGACCTTACAGGAACATTGCATACTCCTACGAGTTGCATGTAGCAGGCCATGACCGTCCCTGGAAGTCCCTGTCTCCTCATCGTAAACCCATAAGGGGTTGCACCAGGGGCGGTGGTAACAGAACTTCAAGACTCTCAGAGTCTGTTGTCGATATCTATGTATAATATAATTATGGTATATAACTTGGGAGTCTCTCTCTCTAGCAGCAGGAGTTGGAGAATGGGGACGCGTTGTGAAAGCCACCGCAAGGAAGGCTTACAGTCGACGCCGACCAATCAAAAAAAAGAAAAGAAAAGATAAAAAAGTAGAAACAGGACACACATGTGTAAGATCTCAGCCGCGCAGTATCATAACAGTTCAGATTGCAAGGTGTCCTGGACAACCAAATCATATAGATTACCTGTAGTGGATGCGCTTGATGTGCTTTGTATCGTTTACAATTAACTATGTGTTAAAACTGTGCGTCTTAGTTGTCCAAACGAGGATTGGACACCTTACAACACAAAATTTCACAAAGATCATGCGTGCGCTTACAATCGAACCGAGCGTGCTAAATCACTCTACAGTCGATCTTCGAGATTGTTCTAAAAGGGCCCCCGACAGTTGAAACCAACTTCAATAGATGTATTTTCGGACGCTGATTCCGAATCACCCCTTATGACATAGGGTTAAAATGCTCCCCTGACGAGATATTGGCGAAAAACTGTCTCGATCACGTGATATGACCGTATAAGGAAGTTAGTCCAATTTCTCGTTAGGGTTAGGGTTTCAGCATATGATTTTGTTAAGGATTGGGTTAGGGTTAGGGTTGGGATCAGATTAGAGGGTTAGGGTTTCGAATAGTCGTTCAGGACCAGCTAGAGAACGAGTTGAAAAAGTCACGTGACAGTCGAGTGTAGAGTGATTAATCATCATCCCAATCGAACGTTTGAATGAATAGAGCTTTATATTGCAGTTAGATATTTCCGAATACCATTACTTATCACTATTTCTATTTTCAAGCATCAGCCACCAAATAATAGTTTTAG